CATCACCATCACCATCACCATCATCCTCATCATCATCATGACAATCACCATCACCTCCAACATCACCATCACCTTCTTCATCATGCAAGAGTTTGAGAAGTACCCGTGCTGCCTCCGCGCAGCTGTTTCTGTGATCTTCATTCTTTGCTTTAAGAGTTGGGACTTAGGATTAGGGGGACCCTGGGGAATATAGACCCTCTCAATAAGGTCCCCTTTATCATAGAGCTACAAGTAGGGTTCAGAGGGGCCCCCTTTAAGGGGTCTCCCTAATGCCTAGGAAGAGTCCCCAGCCTGGCGCATCTTCTGGCCAGGGACTCCATGGGGACATGGCCGCAGGCACTTCCTGCATCTTACCGGCTTGGGCTTAGGGTGTTAGGGGTTAGGGGTTAGGGGTTAGGGTTTCTTAATTTAGGGGCTTAGGCCTTCAGGGATTTAGGGTTTAGGGGTTTAGGACAGCTTAGAATGTTGGGGTTCAGGTGCTTTCTCGGGGGTGGAGGGATGAAGGAGTTGAGCCATCGGCGTTCACGCTGTTTAGGAATGAAAAATCGTGCATTCCAGGGTTTCTGCATTGGTTTGACTGTGGAGCGACATTTTGTCCCGTACCGTCCAAGGCCATTTCCACGTCACGAGTTGCGCCAAAAACCACGGACGGAGTGAATGACTTCAAGCCAGTTTCACTGACGACTGCTGCGTGCAACATGTTCGCATGGATCATGCACTCATCTGTGACTGAGCACGACGCAGCAAACCGATTATGCAGGCAGGAAGTCGGCGAGGTCTACCGTTGTAGCTACATACGCCTATTACATACGCCTCAAGAGCCTGCTCAAGCCCTGCCCTTCAACCCTAAACCCTAAAACCTGAAGCTAAATCCCAAGAAGGAGGCCTCCAGGGGACGGCTGTGGCCACTGGTGGACAGCAGCCTCTGCGCCTCTGCCTGGTCGGGGGGAGAGAGGCGGCCTCTGAGTGTTGCCATTGCTGTCACTACGACTTCTTGGGTTGGAGGATTGAGGGCTGACAAACGTATGCTAACATGCTTACGCTCCGTATAACTGCGATTCCACTTCTGGCATCCTTGCACTGGCTACTCTTCCTACGATACCGACATGTCCGGCGGCATACTGTTGCTATCAGTCTTAGTCATGCTGTTGCTAGCGATCACTATGCTACCCCGCTTCAAACCCTTAATGAATTGCAGCCTTTCTGTATATTTTGAACTTTGAGACGGTCAAGGTATGCTGTGGTTGCTATCGTTGCTGTTGCTCTTGCTTAAGTGATTGCTCATGCTGGTGTTGCAACATGGTGGATACTGCCTTGTACCATACTTACGGATACACGTACGTTCATCAGTAATCTCGTTCTTGTCGCTAATCTGTGCCATGATTAACATCCATCTTTGCACTTGTCAGTATGTTTCTTGATCGTGATGGAGACCTACAATGCACGTTTTGCGAACCAATGTCCTTCCCTCTGGAAGCAACAGCAGTACAAGCGCTAGCGGCGGCAGCAACATGAACGACAATGCGAACTGAACCCGCAGCAACCGCAACCGCAGCAGCAAGGGAAGGACGGTGACTTTGGGTTTAAGCGTGGCTCCATGTAGCTCTCGCTTACTGCGTCAGGTTTCAGGCTTGCTGGCTCTGACGCAAAATAGACTTTGAAGCCGGTGGCGTAAGGCGTGCTGTTTGGAGGCTGGGCCGGGAGGGAATCCGGGTTAAAATGCTATCTCTAGTTTCATGTTGAGGCGACTCTTCGGTGCTCCGATCGACAATCTGCTAAGCCCTGCTTTGGCAGGGTGCTTAGGCTTTCCCAGTTCGGCAATATTTTCTGTGGCCACCTTGAAGTGGTAGTATCGCCGCGACTCATTCAAGAGCGACGTAGCCTGACGACGCTCTTGGTAGAAACAACAAATCCGTCAGATTCCTTTAGACCCCTGGAAGGCACATAGTTCATCATAGTACATAGTCCTATAGGCTTGAGGCTGCACAGCCCCTCACTGCAAGCAACCACTGAACTGCAACTATGTTAGCAAGACTCGTGATGTGTCGTGATATGCTGACAGCTCTCCACGCTTCTCTCCGTGGCAATGCATGACTCAAGTTTCATTGCCTATGACGACAACTTGCTACCTGTACTTGGGTAATCGTCATGATGCTGCGTTACATTACACGCGTCCTTCTGGCTTTCGAGACACCGTGCTGCTTTGCAGTACACCCGATTCCATGCGGAACATGGTGGCATCCATCTTTCATTGCCCACCAATCCGTCTTCTTCTAGTCTGTACTCTGGCTACTGTGGTGTACTCTGCTGCCATGGTCAGAGGATGTTCATGGTGTGTGCTAACTGTATCAAAAAGGCTCGGCTCGACTGGTCCTACCGTGCACATCACAGAATAGTCAGTTACTAAACTACGTAACAAAAGTCATGCTGAAGGAATTTAAATGTCGTTGTCTCCTGTTGCGCCTCGTTCTGCCACATCGCGACATTTATACTGCCCCACCATGACATCTCAATAGGTCCAACAGATGGCTGTGAAATGCAACGACATGTCATGATGCTACATTTGAGCATCATCCAGAAAAGCCCTTTGCCTCGGATTCGAGGCGCTGCCGCTGCCGAACGGCTTCACCCTGCAGCTCGGTAAGCCTGGACGGGACAGTTTCTATGCGCAGTGTAGGGCTCCGCAGGATTCTGCTGCAGCTGACAGTATGCTACTGGACCAGAATCTAGACTGGAATCTGCTGACCTTCAGTTGTGATTGTACTGAAGACGATGAGAACCCGCCTGTCATGGCAGCGTTCGACTACCACACGAACTTCTTCCAGCAGGGTGCTGTCCACCTGCAGCCGTGCCACAAATGGCAGGACTCAACTGCTGGAGATACTCAAGGCTTGCGATGCCTCTTGCTCGTACTGCTGGCGACGAACCGCTGCGTCTCGCCGCAGTTGCGCCTTGCGATCGGCGGTCTGCTGCTCCAGCCACCTGCTGGCTGCACACTACCACTCCAGCTCCCACTTCTACTCCTACACATAGGAATACCACCAATGGTGCAGTAGTAGTAGCAGTAGTAGTAGGAGTAGTAGTAGTAGTAGCAGCAGCAGCAGCAGGAGTAGTAGTAGTAGTAGTAGTAGTAGAAGTAGAGGAGGTAGTCGTAGTAGCAGTAGTAGTAGTAGTAGTAGTAGTAGTAGTAATAGTAGTAGTAGTAGTAGCAGCAGCAGCAGCAGGAGTAGTAGTAGTAGTAGTAGTAGGAGTCGCGGTAGCAGCAGAAGTAGTAGTAATAGCTAGTAGGACTAGGACTAGGAGTAGGAGTATGTAGGGGGAGGAGTAGTCGTAGTCGTAGTCGTCGTCGTACTAGTAGTGCAGTAGTAAAAAGTCGTCGTCGTGGCAGGAGCAGTAGTAATCGCAGCAGCAGTAGTGCTCCCTCCCGCTGCTGCTACATAGGGCAACTGCGACTGCTTGCTACTGCTACTGCTGCTGCTACTGCTACTGCTGCTGCTACTGCTACTGCTACTGCTACTGCCACTGCTACTGCTGCTGCTGCTGTTCCTGCTCCTGCTGCTGCCACAGCCACGAAATCAACCGACCTGCAATTAGCAGACAGGGCTGCCTGGCTTCGGCATTGAGGCCGAAACAGTCGAGGGAACCGTCAAGACCTAACAAACACCGGACACAACAACAACTCGAGGGCCTAAACACTAAAGCCTAAAATCCCTACATAAATATATAGAGTGATAGCTCGGCAGGTGCGAGGTCCCTCTTTTGAGAAGGCGCCGAAGCGCGCAAAACAAGTGCGCGCAGGGCCCTAGCAAAAAAAATCCCTACATGGCCCTACATCCCTCAACCATGAAACCTGAAGCCACCCACCACCGGAACACTTCCGGCCTGGTCCCTTGCAGCAGCTGCTCATCCAGCTTCGAAGCATAGAGGGCTCTGCATCGCTCGATGGTCTCTTCATCTGCCATGCCTCTTCTGGACTCTCGGATTTCGGGCCTAATTTCAGCTTAAGAAGAATCTCGGGTTTCGAGTTTGCTCGATCAGAACTTGAGCTCCTTCTCTCAAAGCTCCGGGGCACAAGACTTTTAGGAGGCCTGAGGAGCGAGACTTTAGGGGGCTTAAGGCTTGGTTTGAGGGCCCTGTCTTGTGGGACGTGACCACATAAGGTTTAGGGTTTGGGGCTCGAGGCGTGACATTTCACAAGGTATCTGTCGGTGAACCCTAGCTGAATTTGACCCCTCAGCCCGAAGCACGTAGCCCGGAACCCCACATACACCCTGGCCCTTAAAGCAAAAGCATCCCCCGGTGCAGCAGAAGGTCCGCGAGTGGCTTTTTCGGGTCTCTCCGGTGGTTCATCATCCACCTCTGCGTCTTTAGGGTTTATAGGGTTTAGTTTAGGGTTTTTGGAGGGTTTGAAGATTTGGGTTCAGGTAATCCCTGCCAGCCACTGTTGATACAAGGGCAGCTGAGCAGCTCTTGACCCCAAGAAGGTACCCTAAACCTTGAACCTCGAACCCTAAACGCTAAACCCTAAAGCCACCAAACCGTGTTCCTGCCGTCTTGAGCTGCGGCCTGAGGAACCGCTTTCCCAACCGACTCTTCTCTTGTGCGGTTGCTGAAACCAAGTTCCGTAAGCAGGGGCCATGAGGGGATTTATGCGGAATATCCCTATCCCAGTGTTGTGCCTTTTTTGGGATCCAATCTAAGAAGACCCAGCTTCGCTGCCAGCGAGGGACATCCAGCTGCAAAGTCGCATTTGGATCAAGCCAAGGGAAGTCTGGAAGCGGCGGCAGCTGGACGTCCATTGCAGATGACACCGGCGGAGCCTCAAGAACGTGTTGAAACACTTGCTGTGTGCGGCTAAGCCCTGCATCCCAACACTCGACCCCCATCATGGCATTGCACCCAGAAATGATGAACCGCAACTGCTGCACTTGCCTTTGACATGGCCCGAACTAGCCCACGGTGCACCGTTCGTGCTGTTCAGCCCTGCCACAGGCTGCGACAACGCAGGTGGAACCAGAGGCGATGATGACATCCGCGAAACAAGTTGGCGTGGCTGCGAGCTCCTGGAAGCCTTCAAGCGAAGGCACTCTCGAAGTTGGAACGCAAGTAGGTTAAAGCGTCGGTGTTGGCGCTCAAAATACAGGCAGAGGTGCTGAGCTGTTGCGATGCGGAAACCCAAGAACAACAACACCCGAAAACTGAAACAACACGAAATGCAATGTCAATTGCGAAAAGAGCCGTAAGCAGACCCACATTGGTAGACTCATGCGCCTGCCTGTTCTTGGGAATTTATTCTCCAGGCTTCCCTAGCTTTTTTCCAGGCAAAACTCCCCAAACCATAATTCAAACCTAACTTAGACTTCCAATATCCTGGAATTACTTAAATTAAGGACCGGAATTCACTATACATCAAATTACGGACCCTATTGGATTCTAAGGTATACATGCCCGGTAAGAAAGCTTCGTCGCATCCGCTAGAGACACTAAACGGAGTACGACCAGAGTACAGGGAGTGAGGAATACCCTAGCCTGGCTAGCGGAGGAATCATCATCGGGGAAGTACATTATAGTACTGTGTTTGCTCCGGGCAGAGGGCTTGTGGAGGAGTCTACGGGGGAATGGGGTCTTGGACATTTTTGTTGTACGTGCGACGAACTTTGGGACCGGAGCTGTATTCCTTAACCTCCGGATATTGGAAGGTCTGGGAAGCTCACCCCCTCAATGCCAGCCTGTCGCGGTAAGGGCTCCCCAGCGGAGCTCGCACAGGGCGAGACGGCCGGCAGTGGCGAGGCCAAATCCAAGGAGGCCTGCTGGTCTTTGCATGAAGGTAGGGTGCGGTGTTTAGGGATTTGAAGTTTAGGGTGTGCAGGCTTTAGGATATCTGGGTTCCGTCTTCAGGGTTCAGGGTTTGCTTCGTTTCTTTACAACAGGTGCGCTGTCGTCATTGCTACGATCATTGCTGTCTGTAAGACACTCCTATGTCTAGAACACTTTTCTTGGTCGAAGCATTCTGGGCTAAAGGCTGAAAGGCTTTCCAGGAAACTGGGCTTCAGTTTTTTGTCCTGGCGCTTGAATTTGCTAGCACCACGACGTCCCTCGCATCGAGCATGCCACCACGAAGTAAAACAGGAGAGAAAGGTAAAGCAGCGGCATGAGAAGAAAAGCCATAGGGTAAGAAATTAATCGTGGGGACGCCAAGTAACATGAAAGGGAACAGAAACAACCACTACGCAGTACGCAACTACATGAACACAACTGCTGCTTTTCCGTCGGCGGCTTCTGATGCTTCCTGTGCCACTACTATTGCTGCTGCTATTGGCGCTCGGCCGGCTGCAACAACAAGAACAAGGCCAAGAACAAGAGAATGCGCAACAACCATGCCATAGCATAAAGCTACCGCAACTACTAGCTGCATAGCCATGACTGCTACTTCGGCGGCTGTTGCTGCTGCCTCTGCGAGCAGCAACAACACCAGCAACAGTAACAGCAACCTTGAAATCCTGACACTCCAACCGTGTCGCGGCCGGAACGTTCTGACCGCCAGCCCGGGTCGGAAACATGGCCTTTGCATTGTTTTTAGGGTTTTTGTGTTTTTTGGGTTTAGGATTTAGGGTTTAGGGTTTAGGATGTTTGCATTTTTGGGTTTAGGAGTGCTTCCAGTGCTTCTTGTATGGCGTGTTAGGCGCTTGACAGGTTTTTGCAGTCTCCCAGAACTGGAAATCGTTGTGTTGCTAGAGTGCTCAAACAGTTCACCACTCTTGGGCATCTCGTATTGCCACTGCGACTGCTACCAGAAGTAGGCTATGCACTGCAAACGTGGCAGCGCTGCAGTACGCAAGGAGAAAGTGGCAGAATAGCTATGAACAGAGGAATAAGGCTTAGCGAAAGGAAATAGCTCATATCGAGCCTTGTAGGGTCTTGGCAAGTCCGTACCTGTAGAGGATTTTGCAGGGGTTCTGACGCTTTACTTACAGTAACTCGGAGAAAGTTACGCCACTAATCATATTGAACCCATGTAGAGTTCAAAGTCGCAGCCGAAAGGTGCTGAAGAGGTGTAGGTGTGGCCTTGGGGAGTCTTGTAACTTCACCGAGTGTTATGTGCTCGTTCACTCATGCAAGGTTTTGCGGACTGAGTGCTTCAGGGTTGTGGGCGCTCAGCGGTTTAGGATTTGAGGTTTGTATGGGGACAGAGAGAGAGAGAGAGAGAGAGAGAGAGAGAGACAGAGACAGAGCCAATGAAAGAGAGAGAGAGAGAGAATAGGAGAGGAAGTGCGTGTGCATATATATATATACATACATATATATATATATACACCTAATAACTATAAACATAAACATAGATATAAATACCTATATATGTATATACATATGCTGTGTATATATATATACATACATAAAGTACACACATACACACATATACATATATATATACATAACTATATATATATACATACCTTTACCAGCAGCTCTGTAAGTCCTTGTCGTTTTCGTATCAGTGTGTCATCGGTGTCTTTGAGGGTGTATTAAGACGGCCACGGGGAGTCACGAAGCCGAAGAGAACCCAAGCCGCAAGGAAGTCGGAGAAGCTTCTCATGGATGCCTTGGTGCGCCATTTTGCGAGAAGAGGACGGGTTGTTTAGGGTTTAGGAGTTTAGGGTTTAGGGGTTTAGGGTTTAGGGGTTTATTTTTAAGGTTGTTCGGCTTTGGGAGTGCAGGACGAGGTTTGTTGGGGAGGGAGGGGGTTGTATCAGGCGGTTTGGATGACGAATGGCTTTCGGGTTGAGCTTGGGGTTTGGGTAGAAGGCGGCAGATGAAGAACCTATATTTTCGGCCTGGGGTTTATCACCTTAAACCCTAAAAGGGCTTATCGTCTCTGACCGTCCTCTCAACCAATACGGAACCCAAAATGCTTACGTCATCATGCAGTAAGCCCCATCAATCTTTTATTTTCTCGAAGTCAGATAGACTTGAGCCTAACCTGAACAACTAAACCCTACAACCTAAACCCCTGAATCATCTCAGCCCCTGCTCCGCAAGGTTTTTGGGATCGAAGAGAATTCCCAGCGAAACGCGTTGAAGGGCACAGATCCCAAGCTGGCCCAAGCTCCCCCCGAAAGCCGAACCCAGACTTCATGCAAAGCCCTTTTAACCCCGCAGCCCCAAAACCTAAACCGCAAACCATGTAGGGCTCATAGGGTTTAGAGGGCTTATAGGGCTTATATGTATACGAGCATGGCCTGAAAACCCTATTCTAATTAATTAACGCCCCTGCATTAGGTCCAGCTTCTCGCAGTCCTTCTGGAGCGCGGCAAGGGCACCGAGCAGGCACGGACGCTTCGCAAGCCTACCGAGCAGAGCTTTCGGCGCTGAGGGTTCCGTATTTCGGGGCAGGGGGCTTCAGGGGTTTGAGGTTGAGTGGTATAGGAAAATTATGCGGCTATATGAACCCCCTAAACCCTAAAACCCCTTATAAACCCTAAATCCTAAAACCCTAAAACCCTAAAACCCTAATCCCTAAACCCTAAACCCAACCCTACACCCTAAAACCCTAATCAACCCCTAAACCCTAAACCGCAGTT